GGGAAACTCAACTCCCCAGCCCAACCTCACATCCACTGTAAGAGTCCCCTCTAGCAATCCTCCCCAAAAGGTGCTTCTTTTTTTTTTTTTTTTTTGGAGAGGTTTTTGCTATAGGACGCATGCGCTTGCCAGACAGACAGAGAGAGACAGAGAGACAGAAAGTGAGAAATCACCCCCTGGGGGGATGGTCACGCCGCAATCCCTTCTCCTCCATTCTCCTCTCGGGATCTTGGGCACGCACGCATACGCACCCGGGGTGAGTTTTAAGCCACCGGGTCTGGGATGCGAACCGCGGCTGACTACGTGGGAGTCCAGCGACATAGCCATTATGCTAACTACTGGTTCCCCCCAAAAGGTGCTTCTTTAGCCTCTGCTTGAGTGACTTTGATGATGGGAAACTCGCACTCTACTCCTTTGGGTGAGTTTTAGTTTGAGAGGCCAGGCACTATTGAAAGCAGCGAGAAACTGGAAGCAACCCAAATGAACAGGGCCAAGTAATCCTAGCTACCAAGATGATAGGGCACCATATGAGCAGTAGAAGTGATAAGAATGTGACCTATCTTAATGCATGGAAATATGTGTGTGCAGTCATCGTAAGTGCCAAGAACAGAACAGAAGTTGCATTTACACACTGATCATAGCTGGGTTAAAATCTGAGCGTGTGCAATAAGAGCTAGAAGATAAATTTAGAAGAGTGTAAATAATTGTAGTATCAAGTTGCCTTTTCTTTTATGATGGTAGAGAATATGTGCACATGTATGTGAGAAAGAAAGAGAACAAGAGAGGCCGGTCACACCATGATCCTCCTTCCCCAGTCCTCCAGTTCCTCAGGACCCTGGGCACCTGCATGTGCATGCCTTGTGTGTCTTCAGGCTGAACTGGGGATCCAAACCTGTGGCTGGCCATATAGGTTCCAGCATTGCAGGGTGTTGTATTATCTTTGAGCCACAGTGGCTGGGCCTGCCTTGATTTTTTTTTTAGAAAAATGACATAGGTACAGAATTTTAAAAAATACCCTCCATAAAATTATTTGGGGTTTACCATTTTATGATTGACCAAGAATGGCTCCAAGGAGCACTAGATTGGGAGGGATTCTAAAGCATGTCTGAGCGCTGTGGAAAAGAGTGACATGATCGATTAGTGATGTCTGTCATGGGTGAAGGAAGAACAGTGGCAGTGTGCATGCTATGCAGTTGACACTCCTAGCTCCCTGTGTCACTTTTGTAGGCCCAAAAGATGAGGTTGTGTTTTAAAAAGCCATGTGAAGAAAGATAACTTGTCTTTGAGTTTCAACATACAGGATTCTTGGCAAGTCACTGGACTATATTTATGAAGTAAATAGGGAAGAAACGAGGGGAAGAAAAGCAAAGTTCTCCACATAAGGGTCAGTCTGAGAGTAGGTAGTCACGAGAGGGAAGATTTTATGGCATTTGCGTTGGATTTTGAAAGGATAAGGAGGTTTTGCAGGTGGCTATGTTTGGGAAAGGTATTTTAGATGGAGGGCAGAGGGAGGATGAAGCCATGGGGTTGGAAAACACAGACTTCCTCTGAAGAAATGTTGATGTCGCTATAGCTAGAGGATGGAGTGTACATAGGTCAGTGGAAGATGAGCATGGAAGCGGAGAAAGGGACCAGGGTGAGTGTACGGAATGCCCGGGTGACAAGTTTAGGTCTATTTAGTTAGCCACCGGGAGTCTTGATGAGTTTTGAGGCAGGCGATGCTAAGAGGCAATGAGAGTAGAGGGCGGTGAGAAAGTGTCTCCTTCCTATGAGACCACCACCATGGGGGAACCCTAGGCTCTGGGCTTTGACGAGATCCCCTTGGAGTGTGGGGTGGAAATCTGAGCACTGGGAGAACGGAGTGTGGAAGGTATGACTGAGCTGTACAGCCCATGGGCTGCACTCAAGCCAGGGTTTCCCAAGCTCTGGGCTAAGCACAGGGATGTGGAAGCCTCGGTCTATGTCTTCTACTCACTGCTAGTCTGAGGAGAGAGGCAACATGCCCCCAGGAAACAAGGACGCACCGATCCCGACAGCACCGGGGGCAGCACCAGTGGTGTGCAGTTTAGGGGGAGAAGATGAACGTAGCAGGAGCCAGTGGGTCAGACTTCCTGGGGCTCTGTGCTATATAGGAGGTGGCCCTGGATGACTTCCAAGGTGTCCTCAGGCTTTGCAGATGCCTGGCTGTAGGAAGAAAATCCTTGAAGGAGAGAAGAATTTGACACATAGAAGGGAGGAAGGCAGGGGCAGTGATCAGCAGTGGCATGGTGGTTAAGACGGTCACACACACAGTTCAAGTCCTGGACCTAGTAGCTTGAAAAACACGCCAGGTGTGGGCTAGCAGGTGGCATGGTAGTTATGGCTGTGGACTCCCACATGGTCAATGGTGGTTTGAACCTCAGACCCATGGGCTTGAAAGTCATGCCAGGCATGTGTGCATGCCCAGGGTCTCCAGAGGAGGATTGAGAAGAAAGGATTGTGGTATGGCCAACCCTCCTGGGGGGTGATTTCTCACCTCCCCTCTCTCTTATCTCTCTAGAAAACACACACATTCTATGGAAATAAAACAGAAGGAAAGAAAAAAAGAAAGGAAGGAAGGAAGAAAGAAAGAGAAGAAAGAAAGAAAAAAAGAAAGAAAGAGAGAAAGAGAGGAAGGAAGGAAGGAAGAGAAAGAAAGAAAGAGAAAGAAATAAAGAAAGAAAAAGAGGAAAGAAAGAAGAAGAAAGGAAGGAAGGAAGGACACACTAAAACGACAGGTATGTGTTCATGCATGCCCAAAATCCTGAGAGGGAAATGGAGGAGAGGGAATTGCAGCATGGCCATCCCCCCAGGGATGGTTTCTTTCTTTCTCTCTGTCTCTCTGTGCCCTGTAGCAAAAAAAGGTGGGGGGGGGGAAAGAGAGAGAGAGAAAAAAAAAAAAAAGAAAGAAAAAAGAATGGAGGCAAGCGGCCTTTTCAGCTGGGGGTGGGTGGGGATGCAGGGCAGGGATAGGTGAGGACTCGCCACCCCTGGGGCCCTGAGGAGACCGCCGAGGTTGGGTAGGGGCAGGAGCCTTGCAGTCCAGCCGGGCTGCCCTGGCTTAATGTGGTAGGCCAGGCATGCTCAGAGGGAACGTGGCCTGACTGCGGTTTGGAAAGGACTAGCTCGGCAGACGCTGGGCTCCTGGGGTCCTACTAGACAAGGAGGGCCCCGGGGAGCCACTCTGGGGAGTCTGATAGACCTCATAAGACTTAGGGGATACCACAGTTTCTGCTGTACTCATGGGGTTTGGCAGTTCTCAAAGGTCCTATCACTTTCTTTTGCCTATGCTTCCAAATTTGGGGACCTCCTATCCCAAGGGAGACACCCCCTACCTTGCTTTCCATCCCAGAGTCTAGAGTATCTGGGGACTGTGAGGACAGAGGGAAGCTGAGTGGCCCGAGACACTAACTGGGCAGGGATCTGCTCTCAGGGCCAGGCCGGGGCTGACTTCTACTCCCTCTACCCTCCCCATCCCAGGGCCAGGGATGCTCCCGGACTCTGGCTGGGCAGTGGGTGGCAGCAGCCAGAGTGGAAAATCCCCCACTGGCTGGCTGATATCAGTGTTTGGCAGGTCTGGTCCTGGCCTTCTGCCTGGGGCCTGAGGGCCTGAGAAATCTGTTTGGAGCCCTGAGCGTGGGGTACGAGGTGGCAGCAGGGCTGTTGACATGGGGACCTTGCTATTTGCCCCAAAATGGGGAGCTTTCCCAGGCTGGGTGAGCAGGCCCTGAGCCAGCCCCAGGTCATCTGGGCCATGGAAAGCCTGCAGCTGGGAAGCAGTGGGACAGGGGACGGCTGGAGACGAGAGACAGAGGGACAGGCTGTCAGACTTAGGGGCCCAAAGAAGAGTAGACAAGGGCTTGGGAGAGGGCACTGGTGGGCGGGGCAGAGGAATTCAGGAAACTGAAGGGGCGGCGTTGCAGTGGGATGGGGGAAGGAAGACAGAGGAAGACCGTGAAGAGCAGAAGCCAGGACAGGCCTGTCCCCGTCTCTCATGCCCCTGCCCTGGCCTCCAGTCTAACACTACAGGCATCACCAGAAGCCCAAGCAGCTCCCTCTGTGTGTCCCAAACACTTGCAGAATTATGACACGAATTTCTCCAAATGCCCTCCATGACTTGAAAGCCTCTGAACTGCCCCAGTTAGCTCTGACTCCGGCCACTGGTATCCAAGCCCCACCACCAGCATCAGTTCCACGGCTACCAGCACCATCACCATTATCAGCACCACCCTCACCACCATCCTAGCTGCTGTCTCCCTAAACCTAGATACCCCGAACTCGTTCCCCCAAGGGTTAAGGAGTGCTGGGGACTAAGACTGGAGACGGACCTCCGAGTGCGTCACCCGCAGGCTAGCAGCTCTCGGTGAGCTCCTTCTGCACACACACGCACACCACCCTGGGAACATCTGGCAATGCCTGGGGACATTTTCAGTTGTCCCAACTGGGGCAACTGCTTGGCATCCAGTGGAGAAAGGCCGGGGTGCTGTTAGCCATGCCACTCCACGGTGCACAGGAGCATGCCCAGGAAGAGTGACCTGCTCTACAGGGCCCATCGTGCCAGGGCTGCGGGGCTGCCTTATTCCTCTCTGCCCCTCACCCTGGCTCTACCATTTTGGGGCCCTTGCCTCACGCTATCCCCATCACACCTCTGGCTCCTGGACAAGAAGGACTCTATGTCGCTCATCTTACGGAACTTTGCTCTCTCTTATCGCTGTATCTCTTGGCCTCTACGACTTGTATTAAAAAGTCAATAAGATGAAAAGTCTGTGGCGGCCACCCTCAAGAAGGAAAAACACACAGAAACAACTGATACATGAAGTGCAGGGTACAGCCTTCCGTGGGGTCATGTTTGCCCAGGGCAGGGAAGCAGGGAGCGGGCTAGATCTTGGGGGTATAAAGGAGGACGGAGTGCTCAGGTCTTCACTCCACTGCAACTGCACGAAGCGGAGTGACTTCTCGGCGGCCAGTTGGAAATCGTCACCATGAAGTGGATGGTGGTGGCCTTGGTCTGCCTCCAGCTCTTGGAGGCATCAGTGGTCAAGTGAGTCGGGGGCTTAGGCAGAGGCTCAGGGAGCCGAGGAGGGAGCCTGGAGCCCGGTCAGAGGGAGCCCAGTCATGGGCCACCCCACCTGTCTCTAGGCTAGAACTTCTGCTGGGGAAAGGAAGGCCCCCTTTGCGGTGCTGGACGGGACTCAGAGGTGGGAGGAGACACAGTCCTTGCCTTCTGGAAACCTCCAGTCAAAGAGAAAAGCGCAGTCCCTTCCCCTAAATGAGGAGAAAAAGATGGACCCGAAGCAGCGAGGAGGGGTGCCTACTGCCCAAGCAGCCTCTGAGTGGCGGATGTGGTTTCTTCCCACAGAAGGGAACAATCTTTTCTGATAAGGGACGAGACACTCCTTAAAAATCTCTGTAAGGCCCCCACTACTGGCAGATGCCAAAATCACCTACACAGAAACACCAGGAAGTGTTCATCTCTGCCCCCCAGAGTGGGCCGAAGGCTCCTGGTGCAGTGAGGGCCTGGCTCTGCGGGGGGCTCCCAGCCTGCCATGCACCTGCTCTTCCACCATCTGAGTCATTTCCTTAGGCCAAGCACTGGCTCCTCTCAGAAATGCTTTTATCAGCAGATTTGATAGAGGGGGTTAGTGGGAAGTAACTGTCACTCTTTACAGGTCAGGGCGAGGGGCTTAGGAGACGTTCTGGAGGTGCAGGGCCCAGAGGGGATAAGGGTGAAGATACAGAACTGAAAGAAGCTGGAGCCCAGCAGGAGTGAGGCCTGCGTGGACCCACCGAGCCCTTGAGGCGACGGCAGCAGACAGGTCTGGGAGGAAGAGTGCCACGGGTTGGTCGTGGCCGTGGTGACATGGTCAGAAGTCACGATTCCCACTCCAGAGCTGGCCTGGGCTCCAGACCAGCCAGGCCAATTTTCCTGGAGTCCTGGGTTGCGAGGAGAGCAGTGGAGGAGAGCAGGGAGGAGCCCTGGCCGTGAGGGCAGAACCAGGACCCCGGACCCAAGTCCCTGCTAATGTTGTTCCCTTACTCCACAATCCATCACATCGAGCTGATGCCAGGTCCCTGAGGCCACCGCAGGAGGGGCTCCCTTTGGCGTGAACTTGGCCATTTCTAAAACCTTTTTTTTCCCCTTGGTTAGATTCACATCACCTGAAAAGGGTAATCCTGGAGTTCTTCTCTTCCTGGAAAGAGATTTATGGGCTACTTGGGAGCAGAGGGCCAGGGTAGTAGGTGTAAGCCCTTGAGATGGGGTAAGGGCCCATGGTTCATTGTTTTCTGAATCTTGGAGCAAGTGCTGAGAAGACTTTTGAAAGAAAGAGGAGAAGGTAAAAAAGAGAGAGGCAGAGGAAGAAGAGACAGAGACAGAGAGAGAGAGAGAAACAGAGAGACAGAGAGGAACAAAAAGAGACAGAGAGATGGAGAAAAACACATGAGGGGACAGAGTGACAGAGAGGTCGAGGCCTACAGTCGGAGAGAGAGAAGAGGGGAGAGGAGAGGAGACTGAGTGGAGGGGAAGGAGGGGGACCTGCTCTGACACACGACCTCTGTAGGGTCAGCCTGAAGAAGGGGAAGTCCATCCGTGACACCATGAAGGAGAAGGGCTTACTGAAGGAGTTCCTGAGGACCCACAAGTACGACCCCGCACAGAAGTACCACTTCAATGACTTCAGTGTGGCCTATGAGCCCATGGCCTACATGGACGTGAGTCCTCACCCTCCTGGGGTATCCCACTGCTTGCTGCCAAAGGCTGCGGGTGGGCCTGGATGGCAGGCTGCACCCCTCCCACCCTGTCCCCATGGCCTGCCCTCAGCTCTCCAGCCTTGCTACATGTGGGTGATTGTTTGGGGAGAGCGTGGAGCGGGGCCCCTACTGACTAGAGTCATCCAGTGCACAGAGCCCTGAGGCTGCCCTGGGTGAGAATGGGCTGAGGGGCCGTAGGTTCTGGTGGGTTGGCAGGAAGACCTGGGCTTTTGCTTCTGGCGTGGGCTATAGGGCAGTGGTGGTCCCTCACTGCTCTGCCCCCAGGCCCTGGCTTCCCCCAGAGCTAACAACCCACCCTGTGGCCCCCCAGGCTGCCTACTTTGGTGAGATCAGCATTGGGACTCCACCCCAGAACTTCCTGGTCCTTTTTGACACTGGCTCCTCCAACCTGTGGGTACCTTCTGTCTACTGCCAGAGCCAGGCCTGCAGTGAGTTCTGGGCTGGGTGTGGAGGGGTGGTGGGCAAGGTGGGGTGCTGATACCCTCCTGGGAGGGCCAGGCTTCATGAAGTGTTGTAGGGGGTGGAGCTCAATCCTGGAGAGGGCCAGGGACTTGTGCAGGGCCCCCAGGCCAGAGGAAAGAGGCTGGCCCTGCAGCTGGGTGGACCCTTTGCCTCCTCTGCTGACCACTCACATCCCTTCACTAGTGAAGGCCCAGCTTCCCCATTCTGTTTTATCCCACTGTATCCCATTCTGTTCCCCATTCTGTTCCCTCCAGGCAATGCCATTCTGTTCCATATGGATAGTTTGCGCTCCCACAACGTCCTATCCCGTTCCACTCCACTATGCACTAGACCCTTCTGCAAGGCAGAACCATACGGGGTGTGGGCCCTGTCCTGCAGAGGTTTGAGGAGGCAGGCCATGTTCTTTCTTAAGGTTGCTTTGGTCCCTGCCAAAACCTTGGGTCCTGAGACCTCTGGTCCCGGGGGTCCCTCGTTGGTATCTCAGAATCCAGTTAGGAACAGCTTCTGGATGGGGCGATGGTTGGGGGAATTCAGAGATACCCTGGAGGGTAGGGAGATGGAGGCCCATACACTTCTTCATCTGATGAGTAATTTTTTATGAGTAATTTTTAAAGCTTATTTATTTATTTCTTCCATGAGTGAGAGAGACAGAGAGCTAGAACTCCAACAGGGTTTTGAGATCGCAATCTACTCCCAGCTTCAGGCAGCCCTGGGTCATGGACATACGCACGCTTGGAGTACTCAGGGAGGTCTCTGGTCACAAACCTGGAACCCTCCTTGTGGGTCAGCTGACAGAATGTCACATTTTACCACTGTGCCACTATCTGGCCTCATGACGAGTATTGCTTGGTACCTGCTGTGTGCCAGACACACTGCGGGGGGGCCAGAGATACTGGAGAATTCCAAAACATGCAACTGCCCATAGGGGGGCCATAGTCCTGGGACACCCCAATAATCTGTAAGTCAGGGGGGTCTTGGGGCTGAGACCGTCCAGCTCCTAAGGGCTTTCCAATGCAGGGAGCCTCTGCTGGCCACCCCTGACATGGTGACCAAGGGCTGTAGAAGCCCCAGGACGTGTGCACAGGCTGAATGAGAGGCAGGGGTGGGAGCCTGCAGGCCTGAGAACCCTTGCCAGCCTGACTTCCCATATCTGCTCCCCTACTGCAGCCAACCACCCCCGCTTCAACCCCAGCCAGTCCTCCACCTACTCCACCAATGGGCAGACCTTCTCCCTGCAGTATGGCAGCGGCAGCCTCACCGGCTTCTTCGGCTATGACACGCTGACCGTGAGTGGGGGCTGCCTGGCATGCCCAGCCCAGGATGGGGGAGATGCTGGCCGGCTGCGAGCTGCGTGGGGAGACTCAGGTGGAGCCCAGCCTGGACACAGGGAACTGGTGGCGCTCTGGTGCACAGAACAGGAGTGGTACATTAACTCCTTGGGCCCTTTTGGAGGGCCATCATGAGCCAGGCACTAAGGATCTTAAAGCCTGGAGAGTTCAGAGAAGAGGGAGGTGGGGTGGGCGGTGCTGCAGCTACCTGGGAAAGCTGCTGGGAGAGAAGGTGACTCTCTCAGGCCCTGTGCAAAGGAAAGGGCAGAGATGAGGAAAGAATGAAGAACGAGCCTCTTGGGGTCTCTGGGGACATGGGTAGAGTTGGACTTGTCATCTCCCCTCCTTTTTGCACATCCCCTCCTTCTAGGTCCAGAGCATCCAGGTCCCCAACCAGGAGTTCGGCCTAAGTGAGAACGAACCGGGCACCAATTTTGTCTACGCGCAGTTCGATGGTATCATGGGCATGGCCTACCCCGCCTTGTCCATGGGCGGTGCCACCACAGCCTTGCAGGGCATGCTGCAGGAAGGCGTGCTCACCAGCCCTGTCTTCAGCTTCTACCTTAGCAAGTGAGGAACGCCGGGGTTCCCCTGCCCCCAGAACACTTCTCTTCCAGCCTTGGACAACTGAGACTCAATGTTTTGGGGTGTGGAGCCTCTAGGCAGGCATCCTGTCCCAGGGCCTCCTTTCCCGGGCTTCTGAATCCTTCTCGCACCCACCCCACTCCTGCGTCTATCCCTGGTCCACTCCCACTGTTCTTTGCATTTGGTGGCTAGGACGGAAGCAGTCCCTCTTCCGGCTGAACTTTGCCTTGAGTGCATAGATACCTCTTAGATTTGCCTCCTGTTCTGGGCCCCAGTTAGCACCCTCTCTGTGGACCAGATGTGTTCTACCTATGTACCTCTTTTGTATGGCAACCCATTGTTCCATTTCCTTTGATCTATTGTTCTAACCTGGTCCTGGAGTCTTCTGGTCTACCTCCACCATTGACTCATAACAAATTATCTTCACCAGCAAACAAGCAAACACAGTCATTTAGTGCACTTGGGCTCTGAGCCCAGTGGTGGGGGCTGGGTCTGCGAGCAGCCTAGGCTTGACATTTCTTATTTTCTCTTCTGAACTGCCAACTGCATTCTAGAGACAGTTCAGACCTCTCTCTCTGTGGCCGAAGCACTTGAATCTGCCTTTCAATAATTCACCCGTGTTGACTTACTCTCTGCCTCAGTTTGCAATTGCTCTGCATTTTTACCTTCAGGGGTTCCACCCAGCTCCACTCAGGCTACTAGGGGAAGCCTCTGAAACGAACATGGAGTGTCCTTTCCTCCTTTCGCCAAGGCCCTCCCTCTCGCCAGTCCTAGCAGAAAGGCAGCAGAGCTGGACCTGGGTGGGCTCCTGGTGACTGGTCCTCCTGTGGCATGAAGGGGAAGGACAGGAGAGCGGGCTGTGGGGCAGGTGGGAGCCAGCAACTTGTGATTCCCCCAGAGGCAGGACTTCGTGGGGCAGCATCATCTCTCAGAATTCTGAGAGGTCTGAGGAGAGACACATCTCATCCATGCGGAGCCCTGGTCTGAGGGAGAACACAGCCCCGTCCTCGGGGAGCCCTGGTCTGGAGCCAGGGAAGAAGCTGTTTCCTTCTAAAGATGGCTGCTCATAGGAAGTCTTCTTACATGGCCACTCGCTGACCTCGGTGGCCTCCCCTTCCCTTTGTCTCCTGCAGCCAGCAGGGCTCTGAGGACGGTGGAGCTGTCATCTTCGGGGGTGTGGACAACAGCCTGTACTCGGGGCAGATCTACTGGGCCCCTGTCACCCAGGAGCTCTACTGGCAAATTGGCATTGAAGAGTGAGTATGCGGTGGGCGCTGGGGATGTGGCACTTCCTTGGAGTGGGCTTCGAGGTACCCCACGTCACACCGCTGCTGGGGGAGAGGCAAAGGATCCCTGAGGCCTGCCCCACAAAGCCACAGCCACCCTCTGCAGGAGTGCCCAAGCCCATATCGACCTGGAAAAGAGGGATGGGGAAGGGACAACCTGGGGAAGGGACAACCTAGGAATGGGCAGGACATTAGAGGCCTTGTAGTCCAACCCCATGGGGTTACAGATCAGAACCTGGGGATGTGTGGGGACTAATTTGGTCAAAGTCCTTATGGAGACTCTGGTCCTGGGCTTCAGTATTTCTAGAATCTTCCTTGTAACTTCTTAGAAACTGACCCCATGGCCATTGGGTGGCCTCAGATTCTGGTATGGTGTGGTGCAGGGGAACAACTGGCCTCTGAGAGGCCTTACTTTCCTTAAGTCCCCTTGGTTCTGTGGCTGTGGCTGTTTGTCGCTCAGCAGTGGCGTGTGTGTGCGCGTGGTAGGGTGCTGAGGCAGCCCATCTCCTCTCTACCCTTCGCTCAGCAGTGGCATGTGTGTGCGGGTGGTGGGGTGCTGAGGCAGCCCATCTCCTCTCTACCCAGGTTCCTCATTGGCGGCCAGGCCTCTGGCTGGTGCTCCCAGGGCTGCCAGGCCATTGTGGACACAGGCACCTCTCTGCTCACCGTGCCCCAGCAGTACATGAGCACCCTCCTGCAGGCCACGGGGGCCCAGGAGGACGAGTACGGACAGGTGTGTCTGGTGGGGTGTCCTCTTCCCTGGGATATGCCAGCCCGGACTCATTTAAAGTTTTTTTTTTTCCTGGGAATGCTAGAATAGCCTAGGTCTGGGCCTTCCTGCTTGTAGCTGCCTGAGGCACTGGAGGTAGGGGGACCGAGGCTGACAGGCTGAGGGCAGAAGGGGGCCTGGAGGCAGGTTCAGGTGGGGTCAAATGTTTGCACTCAGAGGGCACAGAAGGTTACTATTAGGCAAGAATTTCTTCTGAGCTGCAGTTACTTACAGATTAGATGCTTGCTGGGCTTGGAGTAAGACCCAAATAACTGGAATGTGGTCTAAGCAAGTCCGTGGCAAGGGTTATCACCCTTTAATCCACACCTCCCTCCCCCATAACACTGTGCTCCCCTGCCCCCCTCTGCCTCGAGCCCAGCCATGGGTGTGGGTTCGCCTAAGGAACCCTTCTCTAGAACTTGTGGGACCAACAGGGGAAGTCTTCTCCCAGATCTGCTTTTTTTTTTTTTTTTTTTTTTCAGAGAGGTTTTTTGCTATAGGGCGCGTGCACTTGCCAGACAGACAGAGAGAGACATAGAGACAGAAAAGTGAGAAATCACCCCCCCAGAGGGGATGGTCATGCTGCAATCCCTTCTCTACCATTCTCCTCTCGGGATCTTGGGCACGCACGCACACGCGCCTGGCGTGAGTTTTAAGCCACTGGGTCCGGGACGCGATCCGCGGTCGACTACGTGGGAGTCCAGTGACATAGCCATTACGCTAACTGCTGGTTCCTCCAGATCTGCGTGTTTTAAAGGGATACTTGCAGAGCAAAGGCAGAGACTCAGTCTCATACAGGAGAAATTCAGGGAAGAGAACTTCGGGCTGGGTGTGTGGGGGAGATCCTCAGGTCTCCCCAAGGCCCACCACTCTATGAGCCCACACGCATGGGCTACCGCTCTCTGCACAGGGCTTTTCCTTGAAGCTCATGCTCCAGTCCAAAAGCAACCCTGGCTCAGGCCTAGGATCTGGCAGTGGGGGTCAGGCAGTGGGGTGGTGGGTTTCAGGGGGAGATGAGGCAACCTGGGCCCCGTTCCTCTCTGCAGTTTCTTGTGAACTGTGACAACATCCAGAGCCTGCCCACCTTCACCTTCATCATCAATGGCGTCCAGTTTCCTCTGCCGCCCTCCGCCTACATCCTCAGTGTAAGTCCTGCTCCCTGGGGGCCGAGCCACGCTGTCTGGGGACGGGAGGAAGGGGTGGCGAGGCAGAAACGCATGGCCTCCTTGTCTTATGCAATTTCCAGGCTCTTCACAGCACTGGTTTATTTCTCCCACTCATTGATTCTTTTTTTAAATTTATTTATTTATTTAGTCATTCATTTATTTTAATTTGACCAGAGAGAGACAGAGAGACAGAGAGAAAGAGAAAGAAAGTGGGAGAGCAAGCCACCAGGTCCAGGACTCGAACTGTGGTTGGCCAGGTGGGAGTGTCCTGCGCCTTAACCTTCACGCCACCTGCTGGTCCCCCACTCATCGATTCTAAACCCCTTTCCCTGGAACACAAGGCTATGGGATGGAAGACTGCCATCGATTATGCATGACTATTATCAGTGGGGGAGGCAAGGGGCTTTGTGGCGTCCTCCCGATGGCTAGCCACAGTGCGAACGCTCTGCATACGCCATTCCACTTCCGTGCCATCACATGTGATAACAGAGATACTTGTTTCTGTTTTATGAGTGACATCTTGGGGGTTCAGAGAAGTACCTGACCTGAGTCTTCACAGCTAGTCCAGGTGAAGCTAAGCTGTGAACCCAAGTTGGTCTGGCTCCAAGGCTTAAGTGGACCTGCTTCAAATCAGACACAGGAGGGAAGCACAGGGGAGGAGAAGGGCCCCACAATGGGAGGAGCAGACCCTGCAGAGAACCACTGCAGCCAGAAGTGCCTCCCCCCACCCCTGCTCTGATGGCTTAAGTTGCCTAAGAGCCCTCAAGGGCAGAGACCCTGGCCCCTCATCCCTGCACGTGTGCTCCTGGCCGGGGCTCCAGCGCCCAGCCCCTGTGTGAACAAATGAATGAGTGCTGTCTTTCTGTGCTGTACAGAACAACGGCGCCTGCATGGTGGGAGTGGAGGCCACCTACCTGCCCTCCCAGAATGGCCAGCCCCTGTGGATCCTCGGGGACGTGTTCCTCAGGTCCTACTACTCCGTGTACGACATGAGCAACAACCGGGTGGGCTTTGCCACCGCTGCCTAGGCCTGTACTGGGATGCCGGGCGCCCTTCAGCCTCTTGGCCCCCTCCCTGCAGGGCATTCTCTCTGTGCGCCCCTGGGGTCAGCCTTCTTTTTCTGGATTCCGAACTTCTAATAATAATAAATAGTTCTTCTTCATGTTGCCTAGTCTGCTGTTTTTGGAGGGGAGTTGTGACCTGCAACGTGTTTCTGGTCTCAGGGGATGGGAAGAGTGGGAGGCAGGGGCAAATTTGATTGGGAGACCACATTCTTCCAGACTGGCTGGGAGGTTTTCCGGGAGATGGATTGAGGTTCTAAGCAAAATGGAAACCAAGGCAGGGTTTGGGGGTACCCTGCCCCACCCAGCGGCATCGAGGAGGACAGCACAAAGGGAGAGTGGGCAAAGGCGCTGTGATGGCAGCGGGCCACACACTCTGTCACCTGAAATGCTCTAACAGCCCAGACCAGACCAGGCAAGCCCATGGCTGGGCTCCAGATAGAAGGGGGCCGGGGAGCACAGCGTTATGGGTGGTGGTGGGGGGGTGGATTAAAGGGTGATAGCTCTTGCTGCTGACTTGCTTAGATTCCAGTTATTTGGATCTTACTCCAAAGCCCAGCAAGCATTTACTCTGTAATTGCCAAACCGCCACCAGCGCTACCTCAGAAACCTCAGGACCCACACACATGCCCGCTAGCAGTGTGAGTAGGGGGCTGACGTCCTCCCATCTGGATATCCACCTTTCTCATCTACTGATCAGGTGTAGTCTAGAAGTTTCTGAAGAATGCTACACAGATGTCTGTGCGCTTGCAACAGCCTTGGGGTTCTTTATGGAGGAGGAAGAGGCTGCCGGAAGCTGTAATAGTTCCAGAAGGGTTCAGAAGGCCAGGGCTGAGTTCGATTGCATTTTTACCCAGATCTCTATGTCCCAGGACCTGTATTTGAAAGAGGGCAGTCCCTCAGCTGTGGACAAGAGGGCCAGCTACTTGCATCGCACAGAAAGCAAGCCCACTTGCTCTCCCCAACTCAGAAAAGGTGCGGAGTCTCGTCCTGTCCGACTTCATCCCTGCCCTCTTAGGAGCATTCTAGCAAGACTCAACCTGGGGCGGGGACAGGGAGTACGAGGGGGAGGAAGGGGAAGAAGGGGAGGGGAGGAAAACACAGAGAATGACGGCTCAGCACTCGAACTTCTAATCGCGGATGGTGACAGGAAAGGACACCTGAAAAATCCTGTCCAACACACAGTGGCGTGGGGTGCCAGCAGCAGCGCAGGCTGAAGAGGGAGTGTCAATGGAGAACTCCTAACGGGGCAGGGAGGCTCAGTTCTGCAGTCATATTTCACCTGTCCTCACCGGGCTAGCCTCAACCTTGCCCCTGACGCTCAGCGGGAGGGCTAAAAGCGCCAGGAGCCGGGTCCTGCACCCCAGTCCAAACCAGGAGGGAAACTGCGGTTTGCCGCGAAGGAGTTTCTACGGCAATCCCCCATCAGACCTTGCATCTTTCCTAGACTCCCGGAAAGTCAACCCGACGCACTCCCTGGGGAAAGACACGTCTCAGGGTCGTGGTGAGCCTTGGTTCGGGACATTACTGAGAAAAAAGAAAACCTGCAAAGGAGAAGAAATGGAACAAAGGTTCCAAGTCGACCCCGCCAGGTCCCGTGCGCCTTGGCCCGCGCAGCGGACTACAGATCCCAGCGTGCTCAGAGGGGCTGCAGCAAGGACTACGCTTCCCAGCAGACATCGCGGCAGACCGGCCGGAGGCGGGGCGGGCCGCGTGCTGCCCTCTGCCGGGCGCGGCGGGAAGTGAGAGCGGAGTGACAGCCGGAGCCCGGGCGCCGGGCGCGGGGCTCGGTGACAGCAGAGGCGGCG